TATGTAAAGAATTAATTAAAGTAATTAGCAAGTAACTATATTTTAATAATGTGATTTTTTTTTTACTTTTACTATCAATTCTCTAATCTATCGAAATTTTCCATTACAACCGTTTTAAAAGAATAACAAAATATCAAAATTGAATAGAAATTTCGTTGTGAATATTTGTATATGATAATGATATCATAAATTGCGAACGGCGTTATTCATTTAATTTCAAGAACGGATAAAAATACGGCAGTAATAAAATTCCCAATATTATTATTATTAAGGTATAAACTATTTTTATGGATAAAATTTTTTTCGCATTAAATATATTTTTTTAACGATTTTAAAATTCTTTAAATTTTTAATTTTTTATTATTTAGAAAGTTATTTAAATGCAAAAAAAAGTCAACATCTACACAGACGTTCGATATAATTGCCATACAGTGTTTCTATTTGTGACGTCAGTCGTCTAAGAATAAAAAACAAAAACAAAAAATGATTATAGTAATTCTTGGTTGTTGCAGCATCGAACCGAATAATCGAAAATAATTCACTAGAATTGAGGAAACGCGGGACGTACTATTTTTTTTTTAAATAATAAAATTAATTTTACAATTGATGAATATACTTGATAATAGATGGCAGGCTAATAAAACTTTTGTTGCTATTTTCAGTTGTCAAATTATTATTATTATTTTTTTTTATGAACATATATTTGTTATATTTTCTGTGGTTTGCTAACTTTCATTCACAATTTATTAGCTTTTAATAGCTATCATTTTAAAGCATGAAAACTTGTTTCAGTTAACCTTATGAAATCACATAAAACGCTCTTTTCTAGTGTTTTTATTAAATGTAAAATTATAGGAGGAAAATATGAAAATTTATATTCAATAAAAAGGAATACAATGTATAAGTTTCTGTTGATATCTAAAAAGATTTTCATTATCTTTAAAAATAAATTAAATAACAAGAAAAGTTTTGTTTTTATTGGATGCAAACAATATTAAAATCTTTGTTAAATATTCAAGATACAATTAAATAAACCTATATTTTTAGTTAAAATATGGTTTAAATTTAGAATTAGAAATATAAAATATTTTTAACTTACTTATTTGTAACTAATGAGGCCAAGTGCATATAAAAGTTTTTTTTTATACAAATTATACAGAGAATATATTACTTTCAAGTTTTAAAATGAAATAAACTTAATTCTTAAATAAAGTTTATATGTATTGTCTGAAGTGCTTCTTTGACAAATGAGTGAATGAGCATATAAACTAAATTCTTACTTGAAATTTTGTAGATATATTTTACATAAATTATTAATTTTATCAAGTTTTTTTTGAAATTTCATATAATTGTATCCAAGAATTCAATCCTTTTTAAAATCACTAAGATAGAAAACTCAAACTTAATATGTGATTATATCCTTTCTTAATTCAAAAATAATTTACTGGAACACAAAGATGATCTGAAATAATTGGCCTAGATCTGTCAGATTGATTAAAATAAATTGATTTTTCTATCATATATCTGAGGAGATCCAGATGTTTCAAAAAAATGGAATTAAGTAAATACAATTCATAATAAAAAAAAGTTTAATAAATTGTTCTTAGTTTAGGTTTTAAAAACAATTTTGAAAAAATTTATATTTTGTTTTTGCTTTATACATTTAAATTAATTAATCATGCTGGACTTCTTTTTTTGAAATTAGAAAAGTTGAAACTAGACTTTAAGAAAAAGAAAAATAGAAAACAACAAAAAAATATGTCATCATTATCCAGAATATATTGAATAAAAATTTAAACAGAAGTGCAATTTTTTAATATTTATATTAGATTAGAATAAAATTTTCATTAGCAATCATTTCCTTATTTTTATTAATATATGCTATAATAATACAATGTTAATTGAGTTATTGGTTCTAATTATGCTACTGTATGTTCTTATATCAAGAGACATTGAATTATAACCTTCAAACTTTCACTTCTGAACTTCTATGGATGATGAGTAAACTTTTAAATATTGAATATATGGTATGTGTATTAGTGTATTTTTCACATTCAAATCGTTTTCATTATTTCTTTATTTACAAAGGTAGGGCCGAGCTTCCTGGGTCCCTGGTTACACTACTGATAGTGTGTATTAATGATGACAAAACTAGCAGCTATCAAAATATTCAGATCTAAATACCACTACTTTGACACTTTTATGTGAAACGATATGGAATCCTAGGTATACGAAATTTTATTATATTCTGGATGGATTTGAGAAATTAAAATGTGATTTAGTCTTTTGATTTTGTGTCAATTTATGATTTTAAGAAAGTAAATTTAATAGTCACTGAAATTTAATTCAGTATATTAAATAGATTTATATTATAATTTTCAACAAAAAATAAGTAATTTATAAATACAAGTGAATATAGAATTTAAAAGTCAGATTAAATTTTTAAATTAGTTTTATTATTATGTGAATTATAAATGAAAAAAAATAGTAGTTATCTTTATATTTTATATATGTGGCTTGACATATATGTATATCATCATGTAATTCAATATTTGGAAATTTGATTGTTCTTAAGTTTCAAATGTTTTGATTTACTAATATGTATAATTTTGACAGTGAAAAGGTTGCTATTCTTTAATTTTCATTTTAAATATGTTAATGCAAAACCACTTTGCACAATATTTTTAAAATCTAATTATTGATATTAGCAGAACAAGTTAATTTAAATATATTAAAAAAGTTATTAAAATTATATTAAAAGTTAAGCTGTTTTTTTAATATATTTATCTTATTCTACAATAAGAATTGAAATTGTAACCATTCATAGTAGCAGTAAATTATTCAACAAAAGTTTGTTTTAAAGAAATTAATACCATAATTATTAATAGGAATATTTTTCCTTCTTGTAAATTAAGTTAACAATTATGCATCTTGACATAATCAAGAAGAAAATTCTTATTATTACAAAATAGAGAACCAAATACAAATTTCATAAGAAATAAAATATTACAAAAAATCATTTTTAAATATAAAAAAGAAAATATAATAACTAAAGCTATTTAAACTAAATTCAATGCACTCTTGCTAATTCAAACTATTGTATAAAGTTGTTTGGATTAGCAGGATTTTACATAAAGAAAAGGAAGTCAAAAAAGTCTACTGACTGGGCCGGTTTTGGACTGTTAGCTGCCTACATGCTAGATATTTGGCTGCCCTTATCAATGCTGATTGCGAGTAAATTCATAAACTAANATAAACTTTTTTTATAACAAAATATTTTGAATAGAGTATAAGTTATATTTATTTTCATTTTATTCAAATCAAGCTGCTCTGTAAAAATTGGGGTCTTTTTTCAAAATTAGACTATATTTTAGCACCACCATAAAATAGCATTTGCAAATTAAAATGAAATTAATTTAAATGTGAATATTTAAATTAATAATGTTCATGCACATTTCTTTCTTTATTTAATTTTCTTTTGATTTTGTCAACAATTAAAACAGTGGTGTAAGTAACACATTAAGATTAACAGTAAGGGAATAAAGGCCCATTCAAAATGAAAATTAAGCATAAACATAAAACCTTGTATCTATGTTATTAAATGCAACCATTCACAATGAGTTATGTAGATGTAACCTTAAACTTAATCATAAGACGTTATCATAAATAAAGCTTGGAGTTTGCAAAATTTAAAAGTTTATGAACTTTAAGGTTTTATACTTTTTACATGATTTAAAACAATAAACAATCTTAGTGGTTATGGAATACCCACTGATAAATTTTTCTCTGGTTCAATTGATAAATCCCTTATCACTTGTTGCTTGCACCTTTCTGATGCAAAACACTTAACATGCTTCAATGTTACTTACATGCATTAACTGCACAGTTATACTAACTTTGATGTTTGCACGACAACTGATGATATAATCTGTTTCATCACCAACCACTAGATTAAATTAATAAAAAATTATATCAGTGCACTTTAAAATATAAAATTCAATCTGATAGGTGTGCCTGAGTGTACGCACACACTGCACACTTATCAGAACAGGCTCTGGGTCTACAGACACGTAATAATAATTATATATACACAAAGTCATCATTAAAATTAAAAAAAAATATATCAAAAGTCTCTGTATCAAAATTTATTAAAGGAGTTTTTCTTGTCAGTAGTGTTGCAACTATTACAAGTAGGAATGGCTTTCATTGTTATCTATTGTTTTATTTATCTGGACTAATCATTAATCTGTTCATTAAACTAGAAACTTTATTTAAAAAAAACATAAAGTCAATGTTACTATTGTTTTGTGTGTGTATTGCATATTTTACACACACTAATTGGTGATGATAATAAGTAATAATATGATTTAAAACTATATAAAATTTAAACTTGGAAAATTAGCAATAAAAAAAAAAAAGCAGTTAAACTTGTATTATTTTTTTTTAAATCTAAAGATGGTAAATTTCTGCCAATCATCTAGCCCAATTTATTATATATTTACTTAGGATAATGACAAGTTATTAGACACATATTTTAGTTTTCAGATATTTATTCATATCTAATATTGATACTTTTAAGAAGCAATAACAGATTTGATATACAAAAATGTTTGTTTTCATAAAATAAAAAATCATTTGCATAATTTAATAACATTTCATTTTATAAAATTTTACAAATTTACATTATTATATAAAATTTACATTGTTTAAATTCCTTGATAAATGTCATGTTTATTTAGTGAGTATTTTACTTTAATATGAGATTAAAATTTTTATAATAAATCATTTACTCCAATTATTATTTTCGTATGAACTAAAATTTTAATACTTTTGAATACTATAGAAACACTTGTTATAAAAAATGACAATTTAATGCTACATTTGTACATAAAATGCCATTAATTTACATTTTAAATAATAAAACCTCTGGACATTGCTTTATGTTATTTTTAAAATTAATAAAAATGTCTATATTGAGTTGTGATAGAAAGATGAATAAATAATACAGTATAAGACTATTTTTACATTTCTTTTAAAATGTTATTCTGAGTAGAAGATTATTATATAAATGTATAACTGTGATCAACACAATATAAAATATACAATATATATATATATAAACATCCATACAATACATGTAGATGAAGAATAAAAACGGACGGACAGAGTTAACGCCAATTTACAAAATGTGGCCTTGAAGAATGATAGGTTCAAAAGAAATTTATGCTGCCTATATGCTCCTATCAAAAAGTTATTTTTCTTTTTTCCTGTAAACCTTAGGATTATTATTTATAAATCTGGTTACCAGCCAGATTTATGAATAATGTTTTTAATCTTATTTCAGCAGCATAAAAATCCATTTTTAATGAGAATATAGTTATGTATAGTCAAAATAAGGTTTGACACTTTGATAACAATAAACAACATTCAATAACATCTTGTGCAATGAAAAAACAATATGACTTTCAGCATAGAACTTAATGTAAATTTCTTTTTCTTTTTTGTTGCATTGAGCGCCTGACCAGTCAGACATTCTCGGCTCAATTAATTTACATACATAAAACCAAGTTTTGTTTTGCCGTTAAATTCGGCACTAATGACATTAAAAGCACTTCATGTGTCAATTCGTATTATATCATAAGATAAATTCCACACAGTAGGAGAACAGTTGATAAAACTGAAGAAAGAGTTTTGGACCCGTTATTGCCATTATCACTACCAAGTTGAGGAGAATGTTTAGGTATTGGACTAGCTTCCTTGCCTGCTCCATTTTGAAGCAAATCATAGTTATAACTTCCCTCACCATTGCTATCAACTGGTACTATTTTTCTCTCATTCTCTTCAATAGATTCTGTATCAACCGTCAGTCCCAAACTTCTAGGTTGAGTTTGTGAAATAGATCTACAATCAAACCACCAGACTGCTGTTGAACGTGGATATGGATTATCACTACTGTCAACCTAAAAAGTATTAAAAAATTAATTAGAGATAAAATTTTAAATTAATATAGTTTCTTCTGACAATTTAGACACTCACAGCAAAAGTCCTGTCATTAAATCTATAATAATTTTTTCCTTTAAAGAAATAAGTCCGTCCATTTTTCCACTGGAAGGCAGCATCAACTCTATCGGGTAAACCATTCCAATTACTTATAGGCCGAGGATACCTATCACTCACGGGTGGATCATTCCTGCTATCAAATCTCCAATATTGATTTCCTGTGATGATGATAAAAATTCAAAATTTAATTCAAAAGAAAATATAGGTTTTTAAATTTAAATATTTTTAAGATTAATATAATTACCTTTAAAGAAATAAGTCTTCCCATTACCACTCCATACAAATGCAGCATCAACATTATTTGGTATACCAGTAAACCCAACACTAAGTGATTTTGGATAGCCACTGCTTTTCTTTTTATTCATAAATCTCCAATATTGATCTTTCTAATTAAGACCAATGATAGAAGTTTAGTTGTATTTTAGAATAATTAAAATAATGTAAATTTATAAATATCCCAATTATTACCTTGAAAAAGAAAGTTTTTCCATCTGTCCAAGTAAGAGCTGCATCAATGTTACCTGGTAGACCTTCCCAGTCTTCAGAAATGAGGCGAGGATATCCATCAGCAATACCATCTTCAAGTATTTGCCAGTAATAATCGCCTATTTATAAAAAAGATTGTGTTTAGATTTAAAATTAGAAATCCACACTGCTGTTTTCAGTTAACCAAATATTTTCTAACTGCAGCAGGCCCAAAAAAGGCTACCTTTAGTTATTGAAAATTCTTGCAATGAAATGTAAAATATTATAGAATCCAACAACAGTTTACTTTAACATAAATTAAAAATATAAATGTTAATTTTCATTATTTTTGATTAATTTTAAGCCTTACAAGATTTTAAATGAGATAAAGATAATAACAATTATTCATTAAAAATCTATGAGGATATAAATGTGTGAAATTGTCACTAAAGTCTAATGTTATTTACTTCATTTCTAAACAATAATATGTTGTAACAACATGTGTAAATGTCAATTTAATATTGTTTCCTTTTTATGAAGTTGAATTTTTATTTCCCTCACGGTGTTTCTTAATATATAGCATACTATACCTTTAAAGACATAAGTATTTCCATCTTGAGTCCTAGTTACAGCATCCATATTTGCATCCTGGCAGAGATCAGGAGCATCTCCATTGTCTGGTTTTGGTCTAGGCTTATGACCTGTTTCTGGTTGTGCAGGACGAGAAGGCTTATCTCTGTTATCACCTAAGATCAATATTTTACATGCTTATATCACATAATAAATGAAATTTGTTTTCATTATATCATTTCCTAAGCTACATTAATATGATAATTTTCTTATTGAATATTTTGTTATTATAAAGCTAATTGAAAACTGAAGGAATCATTTTATAAGATTATTATATATTCAGCTAAATATAAATATGCAAAACATTAAGAATTTATGTCAATGTTTTTGGAAAAATTAACATAACTAACTTGAATCTCAAGGTAATCAAACATACCATAAAGAGCTTGAATAGCAAGAATGTCATCTTCATCTAATTGAAAGGTAGATTGATAACCTCTGTAGAAAGGTGCCATTAAAGCAGATTTAACGTCGGAGTGTGACAGACCTAACGAGTGGCCGAACTCATGTGCAGCCACTTGAAACAAATTGGTTCCTGGAGAGATAAATAAAGTGTAATGAAATGTGACCTTCATGTCAAAATCAAAATAGATTTTTAAAAATACATTATTATACATGCATGATGCATACCTGAATATTCATTGATCGTCCACTTTTCTTCATCGTCAAAATGTGCATCTCCACCAAATTGGGGAAAGAATGCATGAGCTAGAGTTTTTCCTGGCCCATCAAAAGGATCACCATCTCCATGCTCTCCTACTTCAAATCTCACATCGATATGAACTCTACCACTCTTTCGAACAGTGAAATTGAGAGGGGTCATATCACTCCAAACCTAAAGGATGGATATTTTCCTAGAATTAATTTCTGAATTCAGTTTCTCAAAAGGAATTCTGATGAATCATAGTTATATACATTATTTGATACAATTATTTAAAAAACAAACAATTGATTTTAGAAAAAACTGATAGAAGTTCTTGCTCTAACTAGCATTATTACTTTGAATGCTCTGGCAATTTCTTTATCTACTTTCTGTCGGTCTTTCAGCCTCCTTGGATATTTGCTAATGCGATAAGTTAAATCAGTCACTCTCCATCTACTGCCTGAAATTTGTAAAACAAAATTTAAAATCCGAATATAATTTGTTTTTCACTTGTCAAAAAAGAAAATTTACCTTGAAGTGTGTAACGTTTCTTTCTTGCCAGATCCCCGTGACCGACACGATCTCGGACTCCACAGCGAGGCACATTCATCATAACCAGAGTCTGATTGTCTAAGATACCTGACAAAAAATATAATTTTATTATTTACAAGATAAAAAAAATAGTAAAATAATTTAGCAAATTATTGTTAAAATTAATATTTTTCAGATGGCATTTTGAAATTTGAAAATTTTCATTTTTCAAAATGCTTGCTGACCATTGTACATCATAAATGTACAATGGACAGCAAGAGTATGGCTAATGTGGCCCAAGCCACAGTTGCCAATTGATCAAATGACTGATATTTTTATCATCTATTAAATCAATGAAAATGACATATGATTTGGACACCAGACACTTGACATGCACACATGATATATGACTGTATTCTCTCTTTATACTGTCAAAACATGTCCATAAACTTTTCAAATAAAAATTCTCTGTATTTAATATATATTTTTCATTAATATACACTATTCTACAGAGTGATTGAAAGGTCCCTCTAGAGTGCTTTAATTAATTAATGATATAAATATAACAGGTTATGATGCAGTACAGCAATATTAGTTTAAAGGCAATATGGTTAAAATCAGCTAAAGCATATATATAGTATTAAAAATGGCTTTGATAATTCTTTAGACAAAAAGCAACGCTTCTCAATGTATTCAAAAATGTTAATGTGGATATCTAGTATACACCCAGTAATGGCAGTATTAGTAGTACTGTAGTAGCAGCATAATGGAGATAATGCAGTTGAAAGAAAAATTATTGATATTTTAGGACAGCTGGAAATTTGTAATCTAATATTTAAAAAAAAAACTATAATTAAACTTTAAAAATTGAATCGCAATGTTAAATTAATTAATTTAATCTACAAGATGCAAATATTTTTATTTTGCTTTTGAATACTTTTAGTTAATTTTCTTAATTAATATGTATAAATTAAACACAATAAAAATCATCTATGATAGCAAATCGTTTAATCTTTCCGCGATTAATGGTCGGAGGATTGAAAATATAGTTTTTCTGTTACTGACCTGAAATTAAAATCAATAGGTAAATTCCTTCTCGCAAGCGCTAAATATAAGCGCGAATGGTGCATAATTATACCAATAACGTCAAGGACGGGTGTTTCAATTATAAGTGTGGAAGTTCGTTTTAGTTTAGAATTGGGATTTGAGAAAGTTTGTAGTCGCTGGTATACACCTCCTACGGTTCCCTCGTCCCACCAGCGGGGATGTTTACCGCGTTACAAGTGGCAACCACGTGTGGCCTTTCGCTACTCACTGGTAGAAAGTGTGTCAAGTGAAAAAGGACGATGAAAATCAATTAGACTACGTAGCGAAGTAAAAATGGTGCACGGCCGTTTTTTCCTCTACTCGACCGACAGAGGAAAATGCACGGATAAACGAAGGTCGCCGACTGCGAGATCCGCCACTTTTTGTTCTCTATCTGTTTAATTTCAAAAGGAAGGTTATTAAAACACGATCCAAATAAAATAATACAACCGACGTACTTCCAGTTTTTATACACACATACAAAAAAAAACTAAAAATAAAACCTTTGCCTTGAACCGCCACACATCCCCATTGTTTTTCAAGGGAACTTCAGAAATTTATGTTATTTCTCAGAATAATACGATAGACAAAAAAGTCGGTCGAAGTTTATTGAAATATCGAAAAAGATTCTCGGAAATTTTGTTCGTAGTTCAACACAGATGGCATTTTTTTGTATGAGGTGCTGAAAAACGTCCTATCTCGAATCCGAATCTTTTCAACAAAATTGTACGAGGCTTTAATTTATGATAAACAGAAAGTTTTAGAATGATATAACTAGAGATAAAAATTAATTGGAGAAGAAAGAACTCTTGTTTAAAGGCGGTTTCGAATTGTCAAGTAAGAGAGATTTTTCTGGAATTTCAGTCGATTCCACATCAGAGTACTTGACGTGAAATTTTAAGTATCTCCTCCTTAAAACCATTTAATTTTAATCAGACATCACAAAAATTCTTGTGTTTAATGGCGCTCATTTTTAATTAAAGCACTAAAGTCAACAGGAACCTTAATGACCACTTCTAAGGTATTCCTCGGAAATTAAAATATCCAAAAATGGTCTCTAGGGAATTACAAAGGGAAAAAGTAAATTTTCTATAACAAACGATTAAGTGAAGGACTGTGTTTGCTTATGTAACAAAGGGGTTTCCCATTACCATTTCACATTTTCCCCTTTGATACAGGTGTATCGAATTTTTGCTGTTCCGTAATAATGAGTTGTATGTTGTCTCACCTGTTTCGTTTAAACCCGCGAATCTTTGGAAGTCCTTAATAGCTAATTTGACGGAGTCTTCTGTCAGGAGAGAAGCCGAATTTCCTTTCGTTTGGTCCATGTATCCGAAACGTTGCAAATACATCTGCAAGAAAGAGAGGGAGATTATTCTATAGAGCGGAGTAAATGATCATTTTTAGCACGACGAGTAGGTGGATCTCGTCACGTTGGGCACGGCCAGGACCGCGAAAAACCCATTAGTATAGAATTTAGGACGGCGTCCTTAATTAAATAAGAGGAGGAGGATATGGCGCAGAATGGAAATCACGTTCCTGACTGCCGTTCGCTACGTCCTGCCAACGTACTAGGGTCATTCGAAGGATCGTAATTCATCACCATTCATTCATTGTTATCGTCGTCGGTCCCGACAATAAACAACGAAAAACGAAAGTTTATTCCTCGTTTAATTGTAAGGACGAGAAATAGCACGAATTATCACGCAGCATACATCGACCTAAGATGAAAATATCGATAAGAATCACGAAATGTCTTCTCGTCCGTCTACACTAGAAATTCATTTCGTACCGTAGTGCGACGCAAATTTACTACTGTATAATTTGCGTTTATATCGTCGTTCGACATTAAGAGTTTCGATTCACAAAGTACTTCTACGATCTTAAAGTAGGTTGGGATCAGCGGCACATCCAGAGGGGGCCAAGGGCCCTAGCATCCCCAAAGTAAAAAAAAAAAAAAAATACTAATTAGGAAAAGGTTTTTAGAAAAATTTACTAAATTTCATTTTTTTATTTATATCGTGTGATGTCTTCTATTTCTACATTAATTATGAATCAGCGGTGGCATAAAGGAAATTTTATCGAATTCGCATTTAAAATTTCTTTTATCCTCCTAGACTAAATCCTGGGTGCCCCACTGATTGGGATCGAGATATTTTTAGTGAAAAAATTCTGAACGACGTTTGTAATAAAAAGGTATTTTGGAGAGAAATAGAAAGTGGTATTGGTAGAGGAAACATAGTAAAAAGGAAGAAAACTTCCTTGGCAGTTGTAAAGATATGGACAGACGACGAGGCCGGTCGAAGGACAGCCAAACAAAACTCGTCTCGCACGACATCTTCGAAATAAAAAGAATATTCTTATCTCGATTGTTTGAAGGAAAACATCTGCACACGCTCCCCCTTCGTGTTTTTTTCTTACGTAACACTATCTGTTATTCCAGCGAGAAGGATTCACCATTCGTCACTTTCGAGTGGATCCAATAGTCTAAAGTGTATTCCCACAGTGGGGGAAACAGAGAAAGCAAAAGGCGTAACGTAATCGATAGCCTTTCAACTACGGACTCGGCCTTCCGTACTGTCATGTGAGTAGAGAAGTTTCTATCGCGACGTAAGCTGTTTAAACCAAGTAAAATAGAACATTGTAGGAAGAACGAGTTCTTTCCATTATAAGGGAAACCCGAAAAACAAACAGTTTTTCATCCGAATTTCTACCAGTTGGAAATATTGTTGCTGCTCCGTTCTACGCGTCAAGGTTAAGTAACCAAAGGCTTTCGTTCCAATTACTACTTGGCTTAATTTCAAGGATCGGCGTCGCCATTCTATCGACGCCGATCGGTGCGGCGGGCCATCACAGTTTACTTATTAACGAGTCCCAGCCATCGACTTACAGAAACGAATGATTCTAGCATGACGTCAGCCGCCGGATGCCGTAAGACGGGCACCTGACTACCCCACAATCGTCAGACAGACCGGTCGGGCCGACGCCCTTCGGAAAGGTCCGAAATGACGTAGAAATTTCTTTACGGACACCGACGTCCGATAAAAATAACGTCCGTGCGTAAGCATCCCGCGTTTCCGCCGACGAAGGACGTCGACGCACTGACGTCATCACAGGTGACCTCCGCAGGTAAAACGGGGGCCGTTCCGTCCCACGCTCGACCGCAACGCCAAATACGATTTTTAAAAAATCGAATGACGTAAATGCAGTTTTATGTAGCGGACGATCTTCGAGCGAAACGCGACATTTTAGTCACTCCAAAAAAAAAAAATTTAAATTTAAACCGGAAGGGACGGTGCGGAAGAAGAATAATTTTACTCACCATGGCCTGGACGGGGGTGGAAATGAACTCGGACGTTGCCTTAACGAGGAGCGCGCGGGCCAAGACTAGAACCAGAAGGGAGAACATGTTTGTAAGGATCGACGATAAACGTCGCTACTCACTTTGGCATGACTGACGAGAATGAAACAACCGCTCGCTATTTATCGTTCGGTGCGAGTTGAGTCATTTACCGGTACGTCCGGCCAATGGGAGAAGAGAAAACTACACTGCGCCTGCGCTTTGAGATAAATTAGTCACCACGTGGATTCTCTAGTCTAGTGTTTCCGCTTGAATAATAATAGTTAAGTAGAATGGGTTCGGTTTCTTCTTAATCGATCGCCGTTTTTCGGCTTTTTTTTTTTTGTGGAATCTTTCCGTAGTAAAGCGTTCGAATGTATTGGAAATTCGGGTACCGCTTTCGATTTTTAAACTCGTGATATCGAACGAAACGAAACTTCTGGAGAATTTACTCTTTCGTTGACTAAGAACGATAACCGCACGGTGGACGACACTTTGCGTGTCGCGTGTCTCCACATGTGGGTCAATCGGAAATATCGGGGTTAAACGCTTCTCTGTTTGCACAGCCACGTGCCTAGCTTAACTCCCGGCGGATTATTTTCGCATAAATTTAAGCAGAGTTCTTATTTTAAATGGAGATTTTTTCTTTCTTTCGCCGAGGGGATTTTTGGCTAAAACGGATCCGACGGCGAAAAAATAAACAAATGGCCATATTAGGAAGCCGATTCTTAATTGTATTATCCAACCGAGAGGAAATCAGATATCATCTGTATTATCATTTCCGAAAATGGGGAGGAGTCGCGTTTCTCTCTTATGGAAAGTTTCTTTTATAGAGTTACAGTTTTGATGTTTACGTCGCATTTATTCATGAGAAGTTTTACTGGCGCAATTCTCGAATATACATATATATATTTTTTTCCTATCGGAAAGTTATTGAATCGAAGCATTCAATTAGGATAAAATTCGTGTTTGCTACAAAGACGGTTGACGGAGTACATGAAAAAAAGGATGCGTAACATTTTATGGCTATTATAACAGCATTCCAAATTGATATCGTTATTTCAACAGCTGTTTTATCTCCAGTTTTCGTCCACAGCCATTCACCGCCGCGAAATGGAATCGGCGAAACGTAACTCCTGTCACGTGACGGAAATCGTGCATCTTTGTGTTTTTGGCATTCTCGATTCTTCGCACTCGAGGATGCGCATTTATTTCGCTCCCAAGGGCAAGTTAAATAAATTTTTACATTGATCCTGGGATCGGTTCTGTTACATTGTATTCTGAATTTTTAAACAGAAAAATATGTATATATTTTTTTTTACTGTAGCTCGTGATTTCCTCATTTCTTCGAATGTCGCTGACTAATTAAACCGAAGGGATTTTTTTTCCTTCAATAAAATATAAACGTACTTATAAAGGTATTAATTATCGACTTCGATCGTATCTGATTGTCATTCTAAACAGCGGCTTTCCTCGAAAGTTTATCAATAAAAAACGATTTTTAAAAGAAAATGGTTGCGTATGTGTCAAATTGAAAATTGTGAAAGCACTCGCGGTTTGTAAAAGATATTACCAAAAATTTCATTTTGCACAATATCGTCGGACTCATCTTTAAGTAAAATACAGTGCAGAAATTAAAAAAAGGTGGTGCGGTAATATTAGAGAAGTCATCCCGCTAGTACCGAATGTAATTATTAAAATATATGTAAATGAAATATATTTTATTCGCTAGAATATAAATTATACAACATAACTATTATAAATACCGTGATTTATACCCACGCTCGATTTTTCTAAGAAGTCATTAAGCATCTTAAGACTATGGCAGTATTCGTAATGGTCACTTCTTTGTTGGAGAAGTACGCGAAAAATTATCAGAAAAGTATGTTTCGTATTTCTTTTTGCGAGATTTCGTATGATAACACATTGGTGTCTTCACCAACTAGCTAATTAATAACGTAAAGCAATGAGTAAAATACTATTACATTGAAAAAGTTTACAATTATGCAATTATTATGCAAGAGAAGAAATGGAGATTCCATTTTAATCGAGGATCTAATTAAGGATACGGAACAAACTTCGGATTTTATTGATTTGAGTTCCGATATGACAACAATACTATGATTCATTGTCGTGGATACGATCGAACACAAATGTAACCATTGAATTAGTAAATAAGAGCCGATAGAAGTCAGCTCTTATTTACCACTTCAATCAGAGAGGATATCCGAATAGATTGTGGCGACGTCAATAGTCTTTGTCATAAAACGCTGAACTTTACTATATAGACTCGAATACAAAATGTATTATTATAAAATCAAATAGCTATATTAACTAAATACACTCGCTAATCCGTAAAAATAAGAAAAATTAATCTAATACACGAAGAAATAAGGGATTGAATTACTTGAAAATATACAAACTAGCACGATTTTGCCTGTGATGTGATCATCATCATCATCATCATCGTTAATACCTTCAGATAAATCAATGAACATTAATAAGTCATTTTAAACGATTGACTGAAGTTATCACTGATTAATGATCTTGACCTCATTACGGACCTCTTTATAATTTCAATATTTATTAATGAAATTTAGAATTTTTATTTCAATTCTTTAAATTTTCAAATCGAAGAAATCATCGAAAAGTAGTTTAATACGTGATGGGCTAGAGTTAAAAACGCTTCTAAAATACTGAATAACACCAGATAGTGAACGTGTACACTGTTCAAAATTAGTAAATTGCTAGAAGATTATTTACTAGCTTCTAAAAGTTAATGTAAAAAGTTAAGGTAACTCGACGAATTTTTTCGACATAAAATTAAAATATCAATCCTTGTAAAATAAGGATAAAAAAATTAATTTTAGAGAATTACACACAAACATAGATTGAAAATTATTTTTCTGTTACTGATATTTGTCTACTATTAAATTTCTTCGAACTATAGAGGTGAGTCCTTCGTCGAGATTGCAATAACTTTCTACACAGTAGCATAAAAAGAAAAGAAAAAATGATCACGATCTGGCGAATTCTTATTTCAGCCCTGCATTCATAACGAGTGTTTCATATATCTCAGAAATTCAATTTTTTTTAAATAATCATACATATTTATTAAAGATAATTAGCGAGTATTAAACTGTTTATATAAAATAATTATATTTAAATTTTTAATGGTAAGTTTAGGATATTCGATACTCTATATAAATTTAAATAGTGTAGGTCAGTGCGGAGATAAAGGACAATTACAGTAAAAGTGTACAGTATATTTGGTATTTTTAATAATATATATGTTAAACGTCTTAATGTGGTTACGATTAAATTTAATACAGAAGGTTTTTTTTATTATATTTACTAGAAATGATTACTGGAATAGTAGACTACGTTAATTTCTTAACTCGAATTGTCTCTGTGGTTGGAGCTTATTAAATTCCTATACCTTTAAAAAATAATAATAATAAAATTTAAATAAAATAGGACATTTTACACGTACGTGCTCGCGAATAACGTAAAACTGAATAAACTGACGTAATGAAACTATATAAATGATGAATACAATGACGTATGCCGCACCTATTGTAGGTATTTTGTAACGTTACTTAAGTACATTGTTAAATGTAAATATGATCCGCTCGACTATTCGAAGAGGATTTTAAGTAACGTTCTTGTTTCTTACAAGTACAAACGACCGCTTATACGATTTTCTTAGAAAAAACGTGCCAAATGTTTTCCGCAGAATGAATGAATTAGTCTAAAATTTTCGTTTTAAAATGGTGGGTTTTGCGGAGTCGAAACAAACCGATTATAAAGAAAACGAGTGACTAAGAAACGAATTCGTTTGTTAATCAACGTGCCTAAAAATAATAACAAAAATACACTAAACAGGTTTATATCTCTCCCACGTTATCCTGGATGGGGTTGAACCTTCTTCTTCGTTGGGAGTGGATCTTTTAAATATTTTTACGAAATTATTTACGCGTGTTTCTCGATGCGAGTATAATTATAATAATTTTTTTTTTTAATATATTCGAAGTAGAATAAAACTCGTCGTCAATTAATCTCCCTCTCCGTGGCGCCATCTTTGGATATAAAAATTAATTAAAAGGATGAATGGAGTAAGAAATTCTTATAATATTTTAAAATTTCCAATCATTCGTTCGATTTCGCCTCGTTCACATACTTCCGAGAAAGATATGCAAAATAAATCATCGTCTTAATTAAGCGATTATCTTAAATAACACCAATCTTTATGTGGATGCAAGGACATGACTAAGGATAGTGACGTCACTCGCGAAATGACCTTCTCCGAATACTTCTCACCGTCGAGAGGTCAAGATTAGGACAAGATCGCTTTTAAAATAAATCCAAATACTTTTAATAAATATATTATCCATCGACAACTCATTTCCCGGAGTTTAAAAAGGAAAGAATGGCCACGCGATTAAGACGATTATAAATAGTAACTGTATCAAATTTTCGAAATAAAAATATTTGCATGGAAAATTATATAACTCAAAAATATTAAAAATCGTAGAATTGTACGATAAAGACGAATTAAAGAAATTAGATGATTTCATCAATTCGCGTCACTTTTAAATTCGTCTGTGGAAAAATTGCAAGTGATAATCGGAAAGCTTGTAGGCTAATTAATACGATATGGTAATTATGGTAAATTATAACAAATACATGACGTAACAGCGAATCATATTTCTTATTACAAATATGTCACAACTTTAATTAATTAAAGTTAGAAGTTTCGCAAAATATAAACCTCGACCGAGAATTATGCAGAATTTGTTTTATTTTGAAGAGATTTTTTTTTTTTCCGTTTCCTTTGAAAATATTCTTCTTTATATTTCTGTTTGAATAATTACGTAAATGGCGTATGTAATTATCATCCGCTTTACACGGCTTTTAGTAGGCAACACAATGACTAATCCGAACAATAGGCTCGCAGCCGATACATCATAGTCGAGCGAATTTCGCGCATCCGAAGGAAATGTAACCCGTAAAAAAAAACAATTATTTTATAAATATAAATTAACACATAAATATTAATTTAACGAAATACAATGATTATTCATGAAAACATAAAACGAGTCATCGAATTATTCATTTGTTACATCAGATGGCGCCAATAAATTCGTCTCTAATTCTGCCGACGCTTATCAGAACCGAATTTTTTTTTTTTCCTTAATTAACCGTCGCACTTAAACTTGCATTTCCCGTCTTTTATTGTTTATAGACATTTTTAAAGTGATTTTGGACGGCTAGCACTGATAAATATCAAAATATCGTGTTTAACAAAATAC